GTGCTGGACGAGTAGGTGGTGGCTTTCAAGAAGATGTGGTTCGACTGGAGGCCCAGCTGCTCCAGAGGGTGGTGCTAGACGAGGAAGTGGTGGCTTTCAAGAAGACGGTGTTCGAATGGGAGGCCCAGCTGCTCCAGAGCGCGTGCTAGACGAAAAGGCGGTGGCTTTCAAGAAGACGGTGTTCGACTGGGAGGTCCAGCTGCTCCAGAAGGCGCTGCTGGACGAGGAGGCGATGGAGTTCAAGAGGACGGTGTTCGGATGGGAGGCCCAGCTGCTCGAGAGGGTGGTGCTTGACAAAAAGGCGGTGGCTTACAAGAAGACTGTGTTCGTCTGGGAGGGCCCAGCTGCTGCTGCAGAAGGCAGTGCTGTACGAGGAGGCGGTGGCTTTCAAGAAGACGGTGTTCGACTGAGAATCCCATCTGCTCCATAAGGCGGTGCTCGACGAGGATGCGGTGGCTTTCAAGAAGACGGTGTTCGGATGGGAGGCCCAGCTGCTCGAGAGGGTGGTGCTTGACAAAAAGGCGGGTGGCTTTCAAGAAGACGGTGTTCGACTGGGAGGCCCAGCTGCTCCAGAAGGCAGTGCTGGACGAAAAGGCGGTGGCTTCCAAGAAGACGGTGTTCGACCGGGAGGCCCAGCTGCTCCAGAAGGCGGTGCTGGACGAGGATGCGGTGGCTTTCAAGAAGACGGTGTTCGACTGGGAGGCCCAGCTGCTCCAGAAGGCGGTGCGGGTCGAGGAGGTGGTGGATCTCAAGAGGACGGTGTTCGACTGAGATTCCCAGCTGCCCCAGAAGGCGGTGCTGGACGAGGATGCGTTGGCTTTCAAGAAGACGGTGTTCGACTGGGAGGCCCAGCTGCTCCAGAAGGCGGTGCTGGACGAGTAGGTGGTGGCTTTCAAGAAGATGTGGTTCGACTGGGAGGCCCAGCTGCTCCAGAGGGTGGTGCTAGACGAGGAAGTGGTGGCTTTCAAGAAGACGGTGTTCGACTGGGAGGCCCAGCTGCTCCAGAGCGCGGTGCTAGACGAAAAGGCGGTGGCTTTCAAGAAGACGGTGTTCGACTGGGAGGTCCAGCTGCTCCAGAAGGCGCTGCTGGACGAGGAGGCGATGGAGTTCAAGAGGACGGTGTTCGGATGGGAGGCCCAGCTGCTCGAGTGGGTGGTGCTTGACAAAAAGGCGGTGGCTTTCAAGAAGACTGTGTTCGTCCTGGGAGGCCCAGCTGCTGCTGCAGAAGGCAGTGCTGTACGAGGAGGCGGTGGCTTTCAAGAAGACGGTGTTCGACTGAGAATCCCATCTGCTCCATAAGGCGGTGCTCGACGAGGATGCGGTGGCTTTCAAGAAGACGGTGTTCGGATGGGAGGCCCAGCTGCTCGAGAGGGTGGTGCTTGACAAAAAGGCGGTGGCTTTCAAGAAGACTGTGTTCGTCTGGGAGGCCCAGCTGCTGCTGCAGAAGGCAGTGCTGTACAAGGAGGCGGTGGCTTTCAAGAAGACGGTGTTCGACTGGGACGCCCAGCTGCTCCAGAGGGCGGTGCTAGACAAAAAGGCGGTAGCTTTCAAGAAGACGGTGTTCGACTGGGAGGCTCAGCTGCTCCAGAAGGCGCTGCTGGACGAGGAGGCGATGGCTTTCAAGAAGACGATGTTCGACTGGGAGGCCCAGCTGCTCCAGAGGGCGGTGCTGGACGAGGATGCGGTGGCTTTCAAGAAGATGTGGTTCGACTGGAGGCCCAGCTGCTCCAGAGGGTGGTGCTAGACGAGGAAGTGGTGGCTTTCAAGAAGACGGTGTTCGACTGGGAGGCCCAGCTGCCCCAGAGCGCGGTGCTAGACGAAAAGGCGGTGGCTTTCAAGAAGACGGTGTTCGACTGGGAGGTCCAGCTGCTCCAGAAGGCGCTGCTGGACGAGGAGGCGATGGAGTTCAAGAGGACGGTGGTCGACTGAGAATCCCAGCTGCTCCGTAAGGCGGTGCTCGACGAGGATGCGGTGGCTTTCAAGAAGACGGTGTTCGGATGGGAGGCCCAGCTGCTCGAGAGGGTGGTGCTTGACAAAAAGGCGGTGGCTTTCAAGAAGACTGTGTTCGTCTGGGAGCCCAGCTGCTGCTGCAGAAGGCAGTGCTGTACGAGGAGGCGGTGGCTTTCAAGAAGACGGTGTTCGACTGGGACGCCCAGCTGCTCCAGAGGGCGGTGCTAGACAAAAAGGCGGTGGCTTTCAAGAAGACGGTGTTCGACTGGGAGGCTCAGCTGCTCCAGAGGGCGATGCAAGACGAAAAGGCGGTGGCTTTCAAAAAGACGGTGTTCGGCTGGGAGGCCCAGCTGCTCCAGAAGGCAGTGATGGACGAAAAGGCGTTGGCTTCCAAGAAGACGGTTTTCGACCGGGAGGCCCAGCTGCTCCAGAAGGCGTTGCTGGACGAGGATGCGGTGGCTTTCAAGAAGACAGTGTTCGACTGGGAGGCCCAGCTGCTCCAGAAGGCGGTGCTGGTCGAGGAGGCGGTGGAGTTCAAGAGGACGGTGTTAGACTGAGAATCCTAGCTGCTCCAGAAGGCGGTGCTGGACGAGGATGCGGTGGCTTTCAAGAAGACGGTGTTCGACTGGGAGGCCCACCTGCTCCAGAGGGCGGTGCTAGATGAAAAGGCGGTGGCTTTCAAGAAGACGATGTTCGTCTGGGAGGCTCAGCTGCTCCAGAGGGCGATGCAAGACGAAAAGGCGGTGGCTTTCAAAAAGACGGTGTTCGGCTGGGAGGCCCAGCTGCTCCAGAAGGCAGTGCTGGACGAAAAGGCGGTGGCTTCCAAGAAGACGGTTTTCGACCGGGAGGCCCAGCTGCTCCAGAAGGCGTTGCTGGACGAGGATGCGGTGGCTCTCAAGAAGACGGTGTTCGACTGGGAGGCCCAGCTGCTCCAGAAGGCGGTGCTGGTCGAGGAGGCGGTGGAGTTCAAGAGGACGGTGTTAGACTGAGAATCCCAGCTGCTCCAGAAGGCGGTGCTGGACGAGGATGCGGTGGCTTTCAAGAAGACGGTGTTCGACTGGGAGGCCCACCTGCTCCAGAGGGCGGTGCTAGATGAAAAGGCGGTGGCTTTCAAGAAGACGATGTTCGTCTGGGAGGCCCAGCTGCTCCAGAGGCCTATGCTAGACGAAAGGGAGGTGCATTCAAGAAGACGGTGTTCGACTGGGAGGCCCAGCTGCTCCAGAAGGCGGTTCTGGACGAGGAGGTGGTGGCTTTCAAGAAGATGGTGTTCGACTGGGAGGCCCAGCTGCTCCAGAGAGCGGTGCTGGACGAGGATGCGGTGGCTTTCAAGAAGACGGTGTTCGACTGGGAGGTCCACCTGCTCCATATGACGGTGCTAGACGAAAAGCCGGTGGCTTTCAAGAAGACGGTGTTCGTCTGGGAGGCCCAGCTGCTCCAGAGGCCTATGCTAGACGAAAGGGAGGTGCATTCAAGAAGACGGTGTTCGACTGGGAGGCCCAGCTGCTCCAGAAGGCGGTGCTGGACGAGTAGGTGGTGGTTTTCAAGAAGATGGTGTTCGACTGGGAGGCCCAGCTGCTCCAGAGGGTGGTGCTAGACGAGGAAGTGGTGGCTTTCAAGAAGACTGGGAGGCCTAGCAGCTCCAGAGGCCTATGCTAGACTAAAGGGAGGTGCCTTCAAGAAGACGGTGTTCGACTAGTAGGCCCAGCTGCTCCAGAGGCCTATGCTAGACGAAAGAGAGGTGCATTCAAGAAGACGGTGTTGGACTGGGAGGCCCAGCTGCTCCAGAAGGCGGTGCTGGACGAGTAGGTGGTGGCTTTCAAGAAGATGGTGTTCGACTGGGAGGCCCAGCCGCTCCAGAGGGTGGTGCTAGACGAGGAAGTGGTGGCTTTCAAGAAGACGGTGTTCGACTGGGAGGCCCAGCTGCTCCAGAGCGCGGTGCTAGACGAAAAATCGGCGGCTTTCAAAAAGACGGTGTTCGACTGGGAGGCCCAGCTGCTCCAGAAGGCGCTGCTGGACGAGGAGGCGATGGAGTTCAAGAGGACGGTGGTCGACTGAGAATCCCAGCTGCTCCACAAGGCGGTGCTCGACCAGGATGCGATGGCTTTCAAAAAGACGGTGTTCGTATGGGAGGCCCAGCTGCTCGAGAGGGTGGTGCTTGACAAAAAGGCGGTGGCTTTCAAAAAGACGGTGTTCGGCTGGGAGGCCCAGCTGCTCCAGAAGGCAGTGCTGGACGAAAAGACGGTGGCTTCCAAGAAGACGGTGTTCGACCGGGAGGCCCAAATGCTCCAGAAGGCGGTGCTGGTCGAGGAGGCGTTGGAGTTCAAGAGGACGGTGTTAGACTGAGAATCCCAGCTGCTCCAGAAGGCGGTGCTGGACGAGGATGCGGTGGCTTTCAAGAAGACGGTGTTCGACCGGGAGGCCCACCTGCTCCAGAGGGTGGTGCTAGATGAAAAGGCGGTGGCTTTCAAGAAGACGATGTTCGTCTGGGAGGCCCAGCTGCTCCAGAGGCCTATGCTAGACGAAAGGGAGGTGCATTCAAGAAGACGGTGTTCGACTGGGAGGCCCAGCTGCTCCAGAAGGCGCTGCTGGATGAGTAAGTGGTGGTTTTCAAGAAGATGGTTATCGACTGGGAGGCCCAGCTGCTCCAGAGGGCGGTGCTAGACGAGGAAGTGGTGGCTTTCAAGGAGACGGTGTTCGACTGGGAGGCCCGGCTGCTCCAGAGCGCGGTGCTAGACGAAAAGGCTGTGGCTTTCAAGAAGACGGTGTTCGACTGGGAGGCCCAGCTGCTCCAGAGGGCGGTGCTGGACGAGGAGGTGGTGGCTTGCAAGAAGACGGTGTTCAAATGGGATGCCCAACTGCTCCAGAGGGCGATGCAAGACGAAAAGGCGGTGGCTTTCAAGAAGAAAGTATTCGGCTGGGAGGCCCAGCTGCTCCAGAAGGCAGTGCTGGACGAAAAGGCGGTTGCTACCAAGAAGACGGTGTTCGACCGGGAGGCCCAGCTGCTCCAGAAGGCGGTGCTGGACGAGGATGCGGTGGCTTTCAAGAAGACGGTGTTCGAATGGAATGCTCAGCTGCTCCAGGGGGCGGTGCTGGACGAGGAGGCGGTGGCTTTCGCGAAGACGGTGTTCGACTGGGAGGCCTAGTTGCTCCAGAAGGCGTTGCTGGTCGAGGAGGCGTTGGAGTTCAAGAGGACGGTGTTAGACTGAAAATCCCAGCTGCTCCAGAAGGCGGTGCTGGACGAGGATGCGGTGGCTTTCAAGAAGACGGTGTTCGACCGGGAGGCCCACCTTCTCCAGAGGGTGGTGCTAGATGAAAAGGCGGTGGCTTTCAAGAAGACGATGTTCGTCTGGGAGGCCCAGCTGCTCCAGAGGCCTATGCTAGACGAAAGGGAGGTGCATTCAAGAAGACGGTGTTCGACTGGGAGGCCCAGCTGCTCCAGAAGGCGCTGCTGGATGAGTAGGTGGTGGTTTTCAAGAAGATGGTTATCGACTGGGAGGCCCAGCTGCTCCAGAGGGCGGTGCTAGACGAGGAAGTGGTGGCTTTCAAGGAGACGGTGTTCGACTGGGAGGCCCGGCTGCTCCAGAGCGCGGTGCTAGACGAAAAGGCTGTGGCTTTCAAGAAGACGGTGTTCGACTGGGAGGCCCAGCTGCTCCAGAGGGCGGTGCTGGACGAGGAGGTGGTGGCTTGCAAGAAGACGGTGTTCAAATGGGATGCCCAACTGCTCCAGAGGGCGATGCAAGACGAAAAGGCGGTGGCTTTCAAGAAGACAGTATTCGGCTGGGAGGACGGTGGTCGACTGAGAATGCCAGCTGTTCAAGAGGACGGTGGTCGACTGAGAATCCCAGCTGATCCACAAGGCGGTGCTCGACCAGGATGCGGTGGCTTTCAAAAAGACGGTGTTCGTATGGGAGGCCCAGCTGCTCGAGAGGGTGGTGCTTGACAAAAAGGTGGTGGCTTTCAAAAAGACGGTGTTCGGCTGGGAGGCCCAGCTGCTCCAGAAGGCAGTGCTGGACGAAAAGACGGTGGCTTCCAAGAAGACGGTGTTCGACCGGGAGGCCCAAATGCTCCAGAAGGCGGTGCTGGTCGAGGAGGCGTTGGAGTTCAAGAGGACGGTGTTAGACTGAGAATCCCAGCTGCTCCAGAAGGCGGTGCTGGACGAGGATGCGGTGGCTTTCAAGAAGACGGTGTTCGACCGGGAGGCCCACCTGCTCCAGAGGGTGGTGCTAGATGAAAAGGCGGTGGCTTTCAAGAAGACGATGTTCGTCTGGGAGGCCCAGCTGCTCCAGAGGCCTATGCTAGACGAAAGGGAGGTGCATTCAAGAAGACGGTGTTCGAATGGGAGGCCCAGCTGCTCCAGAAGGCGCTGCTGGATGAGTAAGTGGTGGTTTTCAAGAAGATGGTTATCGACTGGGAGGCCCAGCTGCTCCAGAGGGCGGTGCTAGACGAGGAAGTGGTGGCTTTCAAGGAGACGGTGTTCGACTGGGAGGCCCGGCTGCTCCAGAGCGCGGTGCTAGACGAAAAGGCTGTGGCTTTCAAGAAGACGGTGTTCGACTGGGAGGCCCAGCTGCTCCAGAGGGCGGTGCTGGACGAGGAGGTGGTGGCTTGCAAGAAGACGGTGTTCAAATGAGATGCCCAACTGCTCCAGAGGGCGATGCAAGACGAAAAGGCGGTGGCTTTCAAGAAGACAGTATTCGGCTGGGAGGCCCAGCTGCTCCAGAAGGCAGTGCTGGACGAAAAGGCGGTGGCTACCAAGAAGACGGTGTTCGACCGGGAGGCCCAGCTGCTCCAGAAGGCGGTGCTGGACGAGGATGCGGTGGCTTTCAAGAAGACGGTGTTCGACTGGAATGCTCAGCTGCTCCAGGGGGCGGTGCTGGACGAGGAGGCGGTGGCTTTCGCGAAGACGGTGTTCGACTGGGAGGCCTAGTTGCTCCAGAAGGCGTTGCTGGACTAGAAGGCTGTGGCTTTCAAGAATACGGTGTTCGTTTGGGAGGCCCAGCTGCTCGAGAGGGTGGTGCTTGACAAAAAGGCGGTGGCTTTCAAGAAGACTGTGTTCGAATGGGCGGCCCAGCTGCTGCTGCAGAAGGCAGTGCTGTACGAGGAGGCGGTGGCTTCCGAGAAGACGGTGTTCGACTGGGAGGCCCAGCTGCTCCAGAGGGCGTTGCTAGACGAAAAGGAGGGGGCTTTCAAGAAGACGGTGTTCTACTGGGAGGCCCAGCTGCTCCAGAGGGCGATGCAAGACGAAAAGGCGGTGGCTTTCAAGAAGACGGTGTTCGACTGGGAGGCCCACCTGCTCCATAGGCCTATGCTAGACGAAAGGGAGGTGCCTTCAAGAAGACGGTGTTCGAGTGGGAGGTCCAGCTGCTCCAGAGGGCGGTGCTAGACGAAAAGGCTGTGGCTTTCAAAAAGACGGTGTTCGACTGGGAGGCCCAGCTGCTCCAGAGGGCGGTGCTGGACGAGGAGGTTGTGGCTTTCAAGAAGACGGTGTTCGACTGGGAGGCCCAGCTGCTCGAGAGGGTGGTGCTTGACAAAAAGGCGGTGGCTTTCAAGAAGACTGTGTTCGACTGGGCGGCCCAGCTGCTGCTGCAGAAGGCAGTGCTGTACGAGGAGGCGGTGGCTTTCAAGAATACGGTGTTCGTTTGGGAGGCCCAGCTGCTCGAGAGGGTGGTGCTTGACAAAAAGGCGGTGGCTTTCAAGAAGACTGTGTTCGAATGGGCGGCCCAGCTGCTGCTGCAGAAGGCAGTGCTGTACGAGGAGGCGGTGGCTTCCAAGAAGACGGTGTTCGACTGGGAGGCCCAGCTGCTCCAGAGGGCGTTGCTAGACGAAAAGGAGGGGGCTTTCAAGAAGACGGTGTTCTACTGGGAGGCCCAGCTGCTCCAGAGGGCGATGCAAGACGAAAAGGCGGTGGCTTTCAAGAAGACGGTGTTCTACTGGGAGGCCCAGCTGCTCCAGAGGGCGGTGCTGGACGAGGAGGTGGTGGCTTGCAAGAAGACGGTGTTCAAATGAGATGCCCAACTGCTCCAGAGGGCGATGCAAGACGAAAAGGCGGTGGCTTTCAAGAAGACAGTATTCGGCTGGGAGGCCCAGCTGCTCCAGAAGGCAGTGCTGGACGAAAAGGCGGTGGCTACCAAGAAGACGGTGTTCGACCGGGAGGCCCAGCTGCTCCAGAAGGCGGTGCTGGACGAGGATGCGGTGGCTTTCAAGAAGACGGTGTTCGACTGGAATGCTCAGCTGCTCCAGGGGGCGGTGCTGGACGAGGACGCGGTGGCTTTCGCGAAGACGGTGTTCGACTGGGAGGCCTAGTTGCTCCAGAAGGCGTTGCTGGACTAGAAGGCTGTGGCTTTCAAGAATACGGTGTTCGTTTGGGAGGCCCAGCTGCTCGAGAGGGTGGTGCTTGACAAAAAGGCGGTGGCTTTCAAGAAGACTGTGTTCGAATGGGCGGCCCAGCTGCTGCTGCAGAAGGCAGTGCTGTACGAGGAGGCGGTGGCTTCCAAGAAGACGGTGTTCGACTGGGAGGCCCAGCTGCTCCAGAGGGCGTTGCTAGACGAAAAGGAGGGAGCTTTCAAGAAGACGGTGTTCTACTGGGAGGCCCAGCTGCTCCAGAGGGCGATGCAAGACGAAAAGGCGGTGGCTTTCAAGAAGACGGTGTTCGACTGGGAGGCCCACCTGCTCCATAGGCCTATGCTAGACGAAAGGGAGGTGCCTTCAAGAAGACGGTGTTCGAGTGGGAGGTCCAGCTGCTCCAGAGGGCGGTGCTAGACGAAAAGGCTGTGGCTTTCAAAAAGACGGTGTTCGACTGGGAGGCCCAG